GTGGAGGCTTACGTTTTAATGGTCGCAGCTGCATCATCTGGCCGACTACAGAGGCATAGCCAAGGTATCATTTCTGGGGGAGGAGATGAAGGAAGTGAGAGAATTTATTCTTTATATGTGGGGGTTAACTTCCCAAAACCACCATTTTATTATGAGAGACGCCGTAGTGGAGCGCTCGAGAAATTTCGACCACCTGGGATTCTTTAACGTGCACCGAAATCCGAGCACACGGGCCAACAGCATTTTCTTTTCCATCGAAAATGCAGCCGCCACAGCCGGGATTCGATCGCGCGACTTGCGGGTCAGCAGCCGAGTACCTTAGCTACTAGACCACCGTGGCGGGGCGAAACGAGGGAAGAAAGATTCAACTCCACATTTATGCGGGTTCGTGAGTGTGTTTGCACGTGCGCGTGCATGGATATATACACATATAAGAAACTAGATTTTGGGGACAAAAATGAATTCCCCCGTCCTGGCTGCGTCGATGGCTGGCTATAAGTTCTGATGGTGAGCAATGCAATCAGGTAGAAAGATGGGGGAAGAACGCAAGAACTGCAATAATGCGAGAAAACCACACACGTGTGTTTATGCACGCGTACACAGACGCCTACAAATAGGTGCATGCGCTAAAAGAACGTTTTGATAAGAACGAGGACAATGATAAACGGTGTTGCGATGGCTTTTATCATTTTGTGTAAAGCGGATGCTTGTCCGCTCGAGCAGATATAGCTGACGTACAGTTTTCACGAGTAAGTTTTCTAATTGCGACGCACGAACGATTAGCACCCGTATTTGCCCAACGAACGCGGCCAGGACAAACTGCTGCCGTAGAGCGAATGTAGAATCTCTATCGTCGCTCGAAAATGCCGGAAAAAAGATGCTAGGAGATATAATAGACAGGAATAAACAAATACATTGATAAGCTCAATGGTCACACGACGTGACAGTATATATCGGGCACGTGTAAGTGCCACAATCAGGGAGATTACATATCCAGGAAGCTCTTGGACGCTATCTGTGCTGTGCACATCGCGTGGTCTGAGTACTCATTGACTGCATGGAAAGACGTACCACGAAACGCGCGGACATTTTCCTAGCACCAGAAGCAGGCATGCAACAGAATGTTTTGCCCCTTCCGCACTTTAGTTGTTTTATTCATTCTGTGCATAGCTTGGTTGCTAAAGTTTATGAATGGTGACAACTTCTGCAGCAGCGTGTACCGACTTTTTGGCGAGTTAATTAGTTGAGTTCGGCTGAGTATACATATTATTGCGTTGCGTTAGATAAATGGCCAAGTACCGATAAATGGCCAAGCATATCAGAGACGACGGGAAGTGCGCTCTCAACATATTTATTTGAGAAATATAGGTACATATGTTGGCATAACAAACAGGAAGAAAAGTAATCGCACTTCGATACCGTGCACCATTTTCTAGGTTGGGTATTTCTCTCGTCTGCTCAATATAATGTACAGTACACTGACGCAGGTAGCGCACTCTTTTTCAGTCAAGAATTTATTATCGTGAATTTACCTGATAATTTATTACTATTCGGTTCGCTTATCAGAATCACTATATTGGCTGTGTGTCTTCACTGGTGCTGCCGTTACTGGCGTGCTTTTCAGGGATATGCTGTATAGCAGTACTTCGCGTGACAGTCCCTTATGGACACGTTCAAAAATTCGTATAACGTCATCGAATCTTTGTCACGTACTCTGCAACCATAAGACGCCCAGTACCTCGATCGACAGCGTCTGCATCTTCGGCAAGAAACGCAGTTTTAAAAGGCTACAAAGAGTGTCAATAATGGGGGAATGCTCGATTTGTAACCGCGTCCTCATGCGCTTCTTTTAGGGAAATGACAACACATTGGTACCTCATTATTTTTGGACGCCAAACGATTCGTTGCTTTAACATATGGCGTGTGTGCTGTACGCTACCTTTTTTCTATATGTGCATGCGTAAATATGACGTAACGATCTTGGTTGTGAGTAGTTTATTTATCCATATGATTTCCAGCGGGGTATGTACCATAAAATTTAAAAAAAAAGCATCTTACAGGACTCTTCGCAGTTACAAAAGAGTCTCATAGGGTTAACCGATTGCTAAAACAATTCAGTATTTTTTGTAGCTTAGAAGTAACTTTTGGTATTTATAAATCACGAGTCATATCAACTGTCTTCTGTCTCTTGTTTTCATTTAAATGTGCTGAAATATGTTGATTTTGTTGAAGATTTAGCTGAACTGAATAAAATTGTGCATGGGAATAAACTAATTTAACATTGCCCGGATGACAGTGAAAATGTTTTAATTGGGTCATGATAGCGTATTTGCACAGTAAAAGCACTTCACGTCAGCGGGCAAGATTTCTGTACCAACGTTTATGAAACTTCCAGACATGAAATCTGAGCGCACTTGACAGTTGTAATTTTAATCGCCCGTAAGCTCGAAGCACACCGTGGGCGTTGCCGTGCTGTCTCCGACTATCAACAGGTGTCTCGCTCGTGCAAGGAAAGTCGGATGTTAGAGGAGCGCGCTTGGTTGCAAAAGAGGTGAAGCGAAAATGGTGCTCCGTTACTGCTTGGCTCAACTCGTTATTCTTTGCGTTATTTGTTATTCTTTAAAGCGTTATTTTTCGTTAAAGCGTTATTCTTTGCGTTCCTTATATAAAGGCTGTGTGTAAGGTTAGTAAAGGCATGACATGGCACTCCTTCTGGACTGGTGTGTATATGGAGTGGTCTCAGCATAACGTACAGTAAACGTTATGGCCTAATGACGCTATGTCACGTTTATCGTAGCCTAAGTTTTCCGTTCTGTCTCGTCGCGTAAGTTCTTTTAAACAGCTTAGGGGTTTGCGCGTTCCGTGCGAAGTTGGTCAGCGTGTTGTTCTACCTGCTGAGGTTCGCGGGGCATTTAGCGGGATGGCTCAGTGCTCTCCCATAGTTGAGTATGAAGTCACTCGAAATTGTTATACAATTTTTCTAAACGTAAGTGCTCTCCCATAGCAGAGTACCAAGTGCTCAAAATCGTTCACCACTTTTTCAAACACACAGCGAAGTGCTCCGCATGACATGAAGAGCTATCAATTTTTGTATGCAGTGCTATCAAGCTTGATAGTTTGACAGCCCTGAATAGCGTGAAAGCTTGTGATGTACAAGCTATCAACTTGGCGGTCACTGATAGTCGTGTGCTATTGCAAGCTATCAGCACTGTACTGCATAATTTGAGATTTTAAAACTACTTCATTAGTTCAATGGGCTCCTGCACTGTTTATCGGGACTTGAAATGTTGAGCACAGCGTTGCCTCTTTAGCGCCTCTTGATGATAGTGTGCCCTGACTTCATTGTGGCCGCCATGTTAGCGTTGTAGTACGTTCGCAAGCAAAAATAAAAGAAGAAAAATGTAAATGTAAAACACAAAACAAAGTGCACACGTGAGTGCATTGTTTGCTGACGTCGTCGTGCCCGCCATGTTGGGGTTCGGTGACAAAGGGCTTTCGTGACGTCGCACTCTGCGCAACTAGTAGAAACGCACTGACGGATGGCACCTGCACCACGCTTCGTGCGAATGCCATAGAAGAAAGTACCGAACCCTGCCCCATCCTCTTGGAGGTGACGATGAGATATCGAAGGCTTCCACGAATATCAAAGCCGCCACACCGAGGCCTTCATGCATTTACTCGCTGTTAACTGCAACCATTAACAGAGGCCACACGTATCGCGTTATTTCCAGTATACATGTGTCCTCTAAAGAAACAAGCTACCGGAAATCGCTCGCGCTTATTCACCACTATAGCTGCATCTCAGCACCACGTAGACACCCTGTGCAAACCTTGCTCATCGTTCTGAATCACGTCAGCACTAACGAAACTGCCGACGCGTCAGAAAATCGCGCCTTCGAGGAATCGTCGCGCTGAGTCGGTCTCGGCATTTGACTGTCTGGGCGCCGGCCGCGGAAGACAATACCTGTGCATTAGAATACGTGGGTGCCGACCTTTTAAGTGCTCACATATTGATCCAAAGAGAGAGAAAAAACAAGAAACAGAAATGAACATGTGCCTATAGGTTAAAAGTTAAGAATTAATACCAACAAAAGCGCGCAGCAAGTTCGGGCTGGCAGCGATAAATGTTCCGCAAACCTACCCTCTCCACTTTAATCTATTACGATGAAAAACAGGAACCACGTCAGTCTCTCCAGGTATGCTACAGATGCATCTGCACCTTTACTTCGGTCGCTATATTAAACGGAACCGTTAGATGAATGTTGCGCATATATGTGTCGTTTACGAAAGGACCTTAAACGAGAACGATTTTTATTCACCAAGTAAAGTATGGCTTTTGTTTCTTCACGATGGCAGTCAGGAAGCCCGCCTCGAAGCCAATATAGAATTCTCATTCTGCCGATGACTCGACGCTACGTTCCCCGCGAAAACTGGAATCGCACGCACAAATATAATAGGACGAATAAGAGCAGTATAAAAAGTGACTTCCATACGTGTCCTCTTAAGGTACACCAAGATTGTGAAAGTTAAGTGGTATTTCAGTATCCCCTGCTTAACAAAAGCAGTCCACGGTTGAAGCACACGTAGCAAGAGACAATCATTTTCTGTTATTTGCAAGCTGCGTGACACGACAGGTGGCCGACACACGAGGACGTTCATACTCATACGAAATAAAATTTAAAGAAAAAAAAACACGCGCGATAGAGAGGACAATTTCTCCAGCTAGATAACTTGGAAGTGGTGGTATTACTAGCGTAAACAAACGGAACAGTCAAGCAACATTATTGTCCAATTAGGCGCAATATACTTATTAACTCTCCCTATTTTAATGCATTACGGCAGTGATTGCAAGTGGGGAGTCGTAGGTGAAGTGCCTCTTCGATTGACTCCCTCCGAGCGCGTGTCCGGCCCGTGCGGTGCCGCGCGCTTCGAATTACTGTAGAGAAGCCGCATCTCCGGGAAGTAAACGAAAGCAACGCGCAAATCAAGAAGTCACTCACGAAGTTGTCTGCGGCTGCCGTCGCGTACAGCGCGGTGGCCAGGAGAGCGACGGCCACGAGGCGATCGGCAGCCGACGATTTCGGTCGAGCAGCCATGTCGGGCCGTTTCGGTTCCCGCTCCAAGCTCCGCAGCTGTTCTGGTTTGTTGAGGATGTTGCGCGTGCTCTTCGTATACTCACCGACGAGGGCGCACTCGCTATCCGATGTGGAGCGGCAGCTGCTGTCGGCGGTGTTGTCCTGCACGGGAACGCGACGGCGGCGTGGATAAGGGGCGCTCGCTCGCTCTGCAATGTATGGAACTGCGTGCGTACCTGCCTCTCCGAGGTATGTACGGGCATGCACGCGCGCGCCGGTAGAGAACAAGCAACGCCGCCGCCAGGCCGCAGTCAAGGTGGTGCCCGATCGACAACGCGGTGTGCAGCTGTGCTTCGGAATGAATCATTACATACCGAATGATCTTGGCGGTATGTGTGGTGAACGACCTTCTTGGCAATGTCGGCATACTCGTGGTAGTAAACAAAAAATGCCGCCATATCCACGAAGTGAATGATGTTGAGTGGGCAAAGCTCCGGAGTCAAACCTGGTAAACCATGAATCCTCCGTACATTTTGCTCACTCGATTTTATTGCAACGCTCCCCCTAGCGTACGTCGCCGCACTATATCGAACGATGACACGCGCCATATGTGGCATCATTCCTATTTTATAACACCTCGCATCTTTCATAATCAACTACATGTACCGCCGTCTAGTTTATAGCATCTTGCATCTTTTGGACGGACGGACGGACGGACGGACGGATGGACGGACGGACGGACGGACGGACGGACGGACGGACGGACGGACGGACGGATGGATGGACGGATGGATGGACGGACGGATGGATGGACGGACGGACGGACGGATGAATGGATTGATGGATGGATAAATGGATGGATGGATGGATGGATGGATGGATGGATGGATGGATGGATGGATGGATGGATGGATGGATGGATGGACGGACGGATGGACGGATGGACGGATGGATATGGCTGTACTCTTTAGATCGGGCGGTGGCTAGCGTAATACTTAGAACTGAACGAGAGGTGGCTACATACAGGGTACGCACAGCCCACGCCTTAAGGAGCTTCGCTCCTAAAAAGGCGTGGCTACTGTCACGGCCCCTCGATCTGAGATCGAGCGGCCGTGCTACTGTACGTCTCGCTTTAGCCTGGCCAGCTTGTGTAGCGGTAACTTCCCGTTTTTACCCAAAGGGGGTACTCGTCTTGTGCCCCTGCTGGTGGGAAAAGTAGAATCGACCACTAAGATAAATGCTTCTCAAAGAGCGCGCAATGGCTGCACCACATAATCATACGGCATCGAGAGAGAGAAAGAGAGATAATGAGTAAGGGGAAGGGTGTGGCACAGCAATCGCTTTGTTCATTTAGGAACGAGCTACAGGTCTAGAACAGGGGTCGGCAACCCATCCAGGAAGTCGAGGTGAAAGGACAGTGGCTGCTATATATCTGCGATGGCAGCTATGCTTTTCTGAGCGTTAGGACTCTTGTTATCACGATTTTTTTTTTTGGCAGTGAAGCTCAATCAAAATTTGAGCAGCTGCCATGGTGTAACCTTGTAGCGTGTATTTTTTTTCTGTTCGTGTACTTCAAATAGCGTGGATCACAAAGAAAGATGTGCGAAAGCATGGCGATTGAGCGACCGTTAGCCGAATAATTTTAACAAACATTGTTTTTGTCGTTAGCACCAGTGCACCTGAAATTTTCGATTTCATTACGGGGCATTCGAACGTAAATTGTCTACAAGCTTCCGAGCACCCAAGCACTCAATTTTACAGTGGGATGCAATGCTGTTACCAGTTGCCTAAATCCAGAAAAATCACCCGGAGGCGGGGGGGGGGGGGGGCAGTGTGCGATTGCGCAGCCAATTGGTTTTATAAAATATTTTGTTTTTATTACATCAAAAGTAAAACGATACTTTCTAATCAAATTGACACGGAGATTTAGTTTCTAATCATAACTCAATGGCGTCATTCTAGGTCCCTCTCTTTTTTCATACGTCTTTCAAACTGCCCTCTTCCTTTCCCCAGGGTAGGGTATAGCATACCAGTTACCCTAGATTGGTTAACATCCCCGCGTTTCCTCCATATTCTCTCCCTGCCTGCCTGCCTTCCTTCCTTCCTTCCTTCCTTCCTTCCTTCCTTCCTTCCTTCCTTCCTTCCTTCCTTCCTTCCTTCCTTCCTTCCTTCCTTCCTTCCTTCCTTCCTTCCTTCCTTCCTTCCTTCCTTCCTTCCTTCTTTCCTTCCTTCCTTCCTTCCTTCCTTCCTTCCTTCCTTCCTTCCTTCCTTCCTTCCTTCCTTCCTTCCTTCCTTCCTTCCTTCCTTCCTTCCTTCCTTCCTTCCTTCCTCTCTGACCCCCCAGGATTTACGAAACTGGCTAATACACATGGCATGTCTCTGCACACCCCTATGTGGTGGACGTAAACCCCATAGCTCGAACAGAAAGGCCTTCATGACAGGTGCTCGAACAATATACATTTTCTAAAGTTGTACCCAGCATAACGTTCTTAGCAAAAGGGCTTGCCATCAATTCCGACTAGATTATTCTGCAGTGTAAACTTGACTGCATTGAAATAATATACTAAATATTAAAAATGCAATATTTACAAACATATAGGTCTCGACACATCTACTTCATTCAGCCTCGTTTGTTAATGACTTGTAAAATTTACCCCAAACGTGCAGAGTTTTACACTGATCTTTAACGCCTCCGACAGTTGCAACCTAAAATACTTAGGTATAGTATAGTCCAAACCATGCATAGGTCGGCGAACTCATTCATGGGTTCACTCGCTCGGACTCATCTAGACTGAGATCGAGTCGTGAGTCTGAGAGAGTCCAGGTGAGTAGTATTCTGGTGAGTTTGAGTTCGAGTGAGTCCGGTTGAGAAATATTGTAGGTCTGCGCGTATGTCCGACTCAAGAAAATTTTGGTGAGTCCAAAGTAATAGATATATTTCTTGAGTTAGTCTGGGTGAGTTTCACTTATACTTGCCGACTTGCCATCCTATCTACTCATCTTCAGCATTACTACGAGCCTAACCTGTATTTATTTTTATACTCACATCTACTGACAAGTGTTCCAAAGCACTGTCGTTCATACACCAATCCTCAATTTATTGATAGGAGGCATGAATTACGTAGGGGGGGGGGGGGGTGTCTTGCACTTCCCCTCCACCGACTTTTCGGGGGGAATGCATGTTGCCATCTTTTTCAAGAAAAAAAAATGTCCTTGCTGGTTTGCAACCAATCAACTCGTATTAGAAGATACTGTTTCAAAAGTCGCCAAGAAGTGCGAAAATTGCGTGAGGTATTGGTATTAAACAGCATCGGCACCATGATCGAAAAAGCTAATTTTAGGCTTATGAGCTCATGAGTCGACTCACTCAGACTCAGCTTGAGCCATGAGTTTGGGTCCAGATGAGTTGTAAGCGCAAGTTGTATTCCATGGGTGAGTTTGAGTGAGCTCCACAATTTCCGCCAACCTATGGTACAAATTAACGAGGAATACAGAGGGAGGGTGAACTGTACTTCATGAGAAGTCATCTAACAAAGAACTTCAATATTTTAGGATGCCATACATCGCATATACACTTTACGCAAAAAACATAATAAACACATACAAAAACGTCCCAGTAAAGAAAAAAACTGGAAGTCAGGAGGACATGTATTCGTCCTTACAAATAAGTTTTCAGAACGTTGCCGTTAATAAGGAGGTTTTCCCTTCCAAACCAACGATATGATTATGAGAGACGTCATAGTCGAGGGCTCCGGAGATTTCGACCATCTGGTGTTCTTTAACGTGAACTGACATCACTCAGTATCCATACAATAGGCGTCTCATGTATCTTAACTATACGTTACATTTCATTTGATTGAACGAAATCACACAGCCCGGGGAACATGTTGCCGCGTGAAGCATGCCGCAAGATACTCAAGTAAAATACATGTATGTGTTTAGAAAAAAAAATGTTTAACAATTTCCAGTACTTATAGTACTCAACTATGGGAGAGTACTGAGCCGTCCCGCTAAAAGCCTAACGATAGTGCGGCATCTTCAGCCAAGATATATGATACTGCCTAACCGCGGTTTCCATATAAACGAAAGGTATGGCAATACTGCACAGGCTGAGGTCAGGTCTTCCAGAAACCACCCTGTGCAGGTCTTCCAGGAAACGACGGCTTTCTATATATCTCCGCCCCAGAGATACGCTCAGTAATCTTGCACTGGCGCTGCTATTCCCTATTGTCTTGAACTCTAAAACGTATTCGTAATTTGAGCTGTCGAGCACGTAGTGTGTATCCCGTACTAAACCTTGACACCTGGTCTAGCAATCGGCACGCAGTCTTATAACTTATGTTTCTGCGATTACAGCCAATTCGATATCAATTTCATTAATTTCCAATCGGGTCATTTTACACCCGAAAAGTGAGCAAGCAGAGAGAGCGATACTAAGTTGTTGGTTTCTCGCTAGATATGACACAATGTGGCCGCAACCGAAGTAATTTGTTCTAAAGCTGGGCAGTTTACCGTTGCGTTGATCACCAAGTGAAGGTCGTAGTGCACCCATTCAACATGCCATTCCTTACTGCCATACGTTATACGACACGGACCGCTGACGGATGGAACCCCTTTCTCACTCACCTCCATCGCTGTCATCCGTGACGTGAATAGGGTCATTATTGTCGACAGCTTACTCAATACTCCTCCCTGTAATACTCTGGGCCCTGGGAGTATCACATTATTACTTAGTCGTGCCGCAGGTATGGTACACAAAGCTTGAGCACATGGGATGAGGAAGATGACGAAGCGCGGTGTTCCGATCTCTCCCTATCCCCCATAAGGGGAAGGGGCCCAAGAATTAAACAAACCAGCAAGCAGGCCCACACGCAATGCTCAGTTGTGTCAACTTGTACTGGCCAAACACCGTTGTTTAAAATTATTAATTAATTATTATGAGCAAAAAAAAACATCAATTCGCGTGGCGAAAGCAGTGTAAGCGCGCAACGCCAGGAAATAAGTTATTGCTTAATTTCAAATAAGGTTAATTAATTCTTTCACAACGTAACAAAATGTTGTCGCATTGCACCGCAGCCTTAAATTGTGAGCTACACAGTGCGTGCCGGTACCTAAGCGAAGGCGCCAAGCAAAAGTGGCGAGGGTGTGTGAATTTTAGCAATGTGCATGCCATGTTCCCTAAGTCATCGCACCGAGCCAATATTGTGCCATCCCAGACACGCACCAAAAATAAGGTAGGAAAACAGTAATGAAAAACAAATAAGAAGTTACGAAGCTACACGTAGGATGTCCTCACAGCTCGAATGAACAGTGTGT